TGTGACCACATTCTGGTCCTTCCAGCTCTCTAATCAATGTTTCCTTCTGCAAGGATGCCCTTGAACCTGGGGAATAGCCTCCTATTATTAATAGAAAAGACAAAAACTGCCTTTTTTTCCTATTCTTGTCTTGAGGAGAGGGACACTTTTTAAAATATTTGTTTGATTTGTAACTTACTGTCACAGTGTTTCACCAGTCAACTGAAAACTCATCAACTTGTCAGTATGCGTAAGAGGAAAAGAATGTTTGATGTGGTCTGTTTTCTTTGGAGTCTGTCCTGTAATGCTTTAAAAGAGCCCCCAAATGGTGAAACCTGTAATTTTAAAACAAAACCCTTCCTTATTGAGTATGGCCAGGTACTCAGAACTATAAAAGGGATCACTGGTACAGCTATAGTACTTTTTCACAGGAATAATAGTGTGTATTAGGAGAAAGCTGGCTAACAATCAGATTTTTTTGACAAAAGATGTACAGTTTACTTTTTTAAATAAGGGATTCATTATGGAATACTCTTATCATATTTCTTTTAAGTATAAATTATTTCCTCTTACTTGGTTTCTCAGTCTTCAAGGGCTTTAGAAGTTAGATAAAAGCAGCTATATGTTAGAAGCCTGGGTGTTGTGGAGGTGTTAGTATGTGGTAGATTTTTTTAATCTAAGCGCACATATTTCAGGACCCATTAACTTGCCTTTTCCTTTGGTAAAGAGGTTTTATATTGACTATTACATTGCAAGGAAATTCAGTGTGGATTATTTCAGTCATGCAGTGACTGACACTCTTACCTGGACAACTGCTTGTCCAGTCGGACAAGATGGACAAGGAAATGTTCTCTCAGATGCCGTCACAGAGCAGAGCCAGGTGAGACCCAGCCTCTGGTGTGCTAGACAAATAAATAACCAAACACCAGGACCATGATAAAGGCCCAGGACAGCTTGGCTCTTGGTTCTGATACCTGCAGAAAGAGTTGTGTGTTTGAGGCACATATGGCTGAAGATGTGCAGAGACCATTAAAATATACATTCTTCCATGATGCTAAACATGTGTGATGTGAAAATTGCCTTCAATCGTAGCTACACAGCAGCCTTTATACACTCATCTATGATAAACCAGGCTTTTCATAATAAAATATTATTCATGTAGATACTAATCTGTGTGCAATGACAGCAAAACACTTCATTTATGTTTATCTGTGGAACACTGGAACAGGCATACAGTGTGTTTCTCTGAAAGCTTTCATGAATGTTAATGGCAGGGAATATTGCTTGAAGACAAAACTTGTCCCTAGGAAAATATAGAAAAGGGAAGCAAATAAAGCATCATGTGGAAAATACTACCTTGCTGGGAAACTCTTTATGGTTTGAATTAATTTTTAGTTCAGCAGCACTTGTTAAAACTATAAATAGATAAATAGTCTCTTGCTTTCCTGTAGCTTTCTTCCTCTTATACTGTGCTTTAGAAGTCTTTGCATTCAGTGATTTTTATTTTATTATATTTAGCTATCACTGCAGGCTCTCTTTCAGAGAACTACTTTAATATCGGGCTGCTTTATCTCAGCTCCTAGTGTGATAAAAGCCAATTTAGAGTCACTTTCTTTATACAAAACAATGGAAAGTACAAGATATTTTGATGATAATAGCATCTTTAAAAAAGGATGACCATCTGCCTTTATTCACTTCTCCTGCTTTCAGTGTCCTTTCAAGCTCTACGTTCCCTATAGAAAGATGAAAACACTGAGATCATTTTCAGTCCTGTCAGCTGAGAAGATGTGGTAACCATCTTATAAGACAAGCATATGGCTGGGTCTTAAAGGCTTTTTCAAACTGGGGATCCAAATATAGGCTGCCAAGTTGTGTACAGGAGCATCTGCCACTTCAGTTCCCCATCACAACACCTTCCTGCATCGCCAGGAAGCCTGAGCTGGTGCCTGCTCTTTTCCAGGTTGCCATTTCATGGTAAGAGCAAGCCACGAAAATGCAGAAGTGTGTATCTGAAGGCTTAACTTCAGGCTCCTGAATTTGAGTGTCTTGGGAATACTTTGGGAAAGATGCGAATTGCCCATGTAGAGGATCACAACAGGAATCCAGTTTCTGGAGTTTCTGGTTCGAGTTCACCCAGCTGCAGGGTGAACACGGAGGGACCCGGATGTTGAGCAGTGCCCCCCGAGTGGACCAGGAAGTGATTATTTTGAGATACACTTTGAGCGCACAGGCCGAGCAATGTACTTCACACGGTCCTTGTTGGGCAGGCCAGGAAGGACCCATTAGGACTTCATTTATTTTCACACAGTCCCCCCAAAACTGTTGTCTAGTAGGCCCAATGTCTCTGTATCTTGCTTTATTTGTGGTCTCTTGACTTAGATGTCTTAGCTTCTGAGGAGCATTGAGCAGAAATTGCCCCTATATATGTGGGCCTAGCTGTGCCAGTGATTGCACTGGCTCCTTATATCTAACCAGAACGTGTTTCCAACTTTAACCACTCAATTTTTCTGCTGAACAGTGCTGCTGCCTCCTGCTTTTTGTGACAAATGCCGTAATTTGCCTCTACGAGCTGCTAGGAGAGCTGTGGGGCTGACAGAAGCCACATGGCAGCTCAGGCTGGCCCTGGGAGCAAAGGCCAGGGCAGGGCACCGCGGGCACTGGGCTCACTGCCCTGCGATCTGTCACCTTTCCAGATGCAAAAACTGAGGAAAACGGCATCAGAAAGGGATTTAGCTCAAAGGCAAAGGGAAAAATTGCTTTTTGTTGCAAGTAGTGGATTTCATGGCCCTCATGGAGAAGCAGGATTGCAAAATGTAATTTATGTTGTCTTGATTATTCTCCCTTTTCCATGCACTCCAGCGTATTGGATGCATGGCGACATCCTCAGCAATGCCTGTCAAGTGGCTCTGTATTAAATGTGGCCAAAGTGGGGAGCAACTACCCAAGCTGCATCTGATGGCTCATGTTGGACGTTGACTCCTTCCCTTTGACCCTGAAACACAATGACATTCTGGTAGTGGTGTGGTCTTTCCTGTGCCTTCCTTCTACTGATGGCTCTGAAAAAGTTGGTCTTGGCTTAAGAGAAAATACTGCCAATGGAATTTGCAGTTAACCATTTACTTCCTCATCAGCCCCTAATACAAGAACTACAAGTATATTTAGAGCTCGATAAGGCTTTTTTTCCCCCCCCCAGGTAATCAGCACAGTCATTGCAAACTTTGCCATGAAAACATTTCTGTGGAGACAATTGTTTTGGTTCAAAAGGTGCATGGTGCTTCTTGCTAAAATCACTGTCAATCATCGTGACTTTTTATATAGTGATACTTAAATTTTTGCCTGTTTTTTTTTTTTGTTTGGTTGATTGGTTGGTGGTTTTTTGTGGGATTGTGGGTTTTTTTCCAAAAGAAAGGCCCCCAAAATATTTATCAAAACAACTACTTTTATATACTTTTTGTTTTGAAGCAAAACATGTCCCCCATGCCAGGAAGTTAACTTACCTGTTCTAATCACATGGAACTTGCCCTGAAAATCAGAGGGCAGAGTAATACAGAAAGATCTGTGGAGGTGCAGGAAGCTGAATTTATTGCTATTTGTGAAGCCATTTAACACTGTTCAGAGCAATTTTAGCTGTTCAGCCCCCCATTGATGAATCTCAAAATATCTGCCATGTTTATGAGACAGCCTTCTGTAACATATCTTCATTTGCTCTTACCTAGTGTTTGCTCTTACCCCCATTTTGGAACTTTAGCCATTTATGACAGGAGCCAAAACCCTTCTCACCCCCACCCCATGTAACGAATGACGAGCTAATAAGCAGGGAGGTAAACAATTCCTGAAGTACTTCCTTTGCCTAAGCTAACTGTTGAACAGGAACCCCACTCCTAGCAATTGGAATCACTCTGGAAACCTGCCTTGAATAGACGTAAAGCTGCAGCCATTGTAATCAAGAGACTAACAGAAAAGCAAGTAATTTTGGCAAGTAACACTCCCACATGAACTATTTTAAACTTTAAGATTGCTAAAATGAGACATTTAATAAACATGAAATGAAAACAATCCCAGTGGCTGGATTAAAAAAAATAGACAACAGTCTTGACTCATGCATCTATCACTGGCCTGAAAAAATATGGGTTTCATAACTATTGTTGTTAGGTATAAGTGACTAATGAGTACAGAAAATAATTTTTCAAAAATAGGTCTTTATTAGCAGTCTGGGTTAGAGAACTGGATGTTCACTCTGACTCGGGTTTTCCATTGAGAGGAATAAAAAATTTGAGGTGTTCACAGGTTACAAGTTAAAAAAAAATGTGGAAAGTGATTTATTTACATTACCAAGATGAAATTGAGTTACAGTGGCTAATAGGATAAGTGTTGCGAGTTAGACATTAGAAGAAGGATATGAACCCAATTTACTGGGCAAATTAACTTCGTTAGAACACTTGAGCTGGCACGAAGATAACAGCGCCTTTAGGAGACAAACTGCCTGCCTTGCTTGTGTACTCCGGTGTTTCTCTAATGATTAAAGTTCTTTAGGCAACCTTTTTCACCAGCCTAAGGGAGTCAAAAGACACTGATAAATGTGCAACAGAAACAGAAGGAAAACTGGGCTTAATGCCCTAACTCTCCATATCTTAATACTTGCTGAAGCAGTTCTGGTTCTTTTGCTTTCCGTAACTAAAATTGCTAAAAATTGTGCTTCTGGATGACATGGATGCCACTGATTTGCAAATGGAGCTAAACAGAGTTTTCAAGACTTGAATAACAAGCCCAGAGAATTCCTTAAAAAATAATGTCCTGGAAAGCAAAGTAGCAGATAGAGACTGACCAAATTGAAGGGGAGCAGAAGCCTTTCAGCAGTGTCCATCTGAGGCAGTTCAGATATGGACTGAACTGCATTTGGCAGGATCCCTTTCCCTTTCAATAACGAGCTGTACTCTGGTTCACCTTGTGCCCAAGGATTTCACAGTGCTTGATACAAGTAAAGTGTATGGCGTTCAGTGCTCGATTGCATCCAGACATGGGGATCTTAACACACTTCTTAGTCCAGAAAGTCTTCTGCTATTTCCAGAACTGTTCAATGTGAGAAAGGGGGATGGACTTAAATGATGTACCCAAGGTCATGCTGCAAATTAGTAGCAAGATGGGAGGCACCTGAGAAACAGTCCCCTCCTGGAATCATGGGGCTGATCTGCCTACCTGAAAATAAAAGAAAGCCAGACGTCTCTGCAGTGATCAATTCCAGCCAATTTGTATTGAACAATTTGCTATGAGATTCAATTAAAAAAAAAAAAAAAAGGAAAGAAAGAAAAACCTTGTAAAGCTAGACTAAACTGTGTTAATACCATAGCGGTCGTTCTTTGATGTGATGCTTTAGAGGAGCTGAGGCAGAACGTGCTGCGTCTGTACAGTTTAATAAAAATAAGGCTGTGAAACATCATCTGATGCAAAAATTCCAAGACTCTTGTCAACATCTAACACTGAACCTTAAAATTACCAGACCTGAATGCATGTAGATGATCTGGACTTGTTAATTCTAACGGCATCTGTGCCCATTTACACCAGCTAAATATCTAGCGTAACATTCAATATAAGCAATTTTCTTGTCCCTTCCCAATTATCTCCATTACAGAAAACCTAATTAAATCATATCTTTTAGCAGGAACCGAGAATTCAAGAGCTTCATTTTTTCATTTAATTAAAAGCTCTTCATCTTGAACTGTTAATTTTCTGAAAAAGATATCCAGTAGTTCTTCCTCTGATCCACTTTGGTTACTGAATGAAATGGCTCATTTACTCTGTGTTAGCTTTTGAACTGTACGCTTAGGCTCCAACTCTTGTGAAGAGCTTAGAAGATGATAGGAATCATAGCTGCTTTTCTCCGCACCTCTGGATAAAATCTCTTCAGGTACAGCTTGTGTTTCTTCTGGGCCCAGAGAGACATCTGGATGACCATCAGGAAGGCAAAAATGCCAACTACCAAGGAAAAAGAGAAAAAAAAAGAAAAAGAAAAAAAAAGATCATGTGTCTTCTTTCAATGACTGTTTCTGTGAATAAAAGAAGGTTTATAGAAAAGTCTGGAGTCTCTTCTGTGGGCAGAGACAAGTTAACTCTGCCCTTGCTCTCAGCCTCGCAGTTGCTGATATACCATAGCCCAAGGCTCAGCCTCCACGTCAGAATGCACACAGATGATGTTCACATTTATTAGACACAGCCTGTGTCACCTATGACTTCACCATAAATCACAAGGCCTCCTTGGGCATGGTGCCGTCTCAACACAGAATTACCGATGGCCCCTCTCAACTATTCTTCTGGTTTCCTTTTGGCCTATAACACTTCTTTGCTTTTACCTCTGGCTCCCAACCATAACAGGGAGTTGTGCTGTAACTTCCTGTTGAATGGAGGGGGAGCTCAGCCCTGGAGCAAGTAGGCAATAGGTGCACAAACATATTTAGTTGCCTGGCAGCGTGGTCTCACAAAGTCTAACAACTATAGATGCCCAGGACCCTGCTGTGGTTGACAGGAGCCAGTAAGTGGTCTCTCGGGTACCTCCCCCTTTGGGTTTACTGGCACCAAATGGGGAATGCTTTTACAGGTGCTTTTTGCAAATTCATTATGCTTTCTTCCTTAAAATGAGCTGGTGGATCAGAAACAGTCATTTGGCATCTGGTCAAGTTATGCTTGGGACAGTTACAGCAAGGATGTGTGTGCCGCATATGTTGCTGCTCCCTGCCCTCATAAACGCAGCCCTACAATGTCCACAAACTCTCAAGTCATTCCCATACCAGAGCCTAAAGCACAAAAAATGTTGTATCTTTTCAAACAAAATTAAAAGTTTAAATTTTGCGTGATGCAGTTTAATCCACTTTTGAAATTCCTTTCTTTTTCATTTGTAAACCATGTGGGGCTACTTTTTGCAAGTAGCTTTTACAGGTTTCTATTTTGGAATAGAAAAATAATTAAAAAGTGAATGTTTTGGAGAGTTAAGTCCCAGGGACCATATTTGTATGGGTATTTAGGTCTCTAAGGATGCAGGAAAGTACTGAGCAAGAGTTGCAAATGCTACTAAGCAGGCTGCTGTTACAAGCTGGCTGCCTGATATAAGCAAACAGGGAAATCCTACCAGGAACGTATGTGTCTTTCCTCTTTTGAAATACTAAGTACATCTGTTTCCTCTCCCTATTAGAAGTATTATTCCAGATTTAAAATGCAAATAAATTTTCCTATATCAAAAATTATTGACTCTAAGTGAAGAATACTGGCTTTCCCCCCCCCCTAAATTTCAAAGTCTGTTTTCACAGTGGAAACAGAAGAAACGACAATAATTCACAAAAAAGCCGAGAGCAGATTTTGATCAAAAGAAGGTGTTACAGTAGCATTTGTGCTCTCCACAGGTTTCTGAGTAGCACTTTGAAGGTTTATACAGTGATGACACAGGGGAGATTTGATGCCAATATTTCATATGCCAAAAAATTTTTGGCAAATTTTAGATTTTCAGAGTTCACTTCTGCAAACAACAATCTAGAGGCTATCTTCATTCTGTTTCAACCTTACCTGGCAGGGTTTGTGTCATCACTGTGAAACTAATCCAAGATCCAACCTGTTGCAATGAAAAAGGCACCATTAATTGTATACTTTCTGTAAAGCAAAAGGGCAAATTTTCAAAAGTGACCACTTCCTCAAAAGCTCCCCCTGGAAGAAGAGGGTGATACTCATACTGGAAACAAGAGAGGAAAAATAGCTAGAAAGGGACCCCCCTGCAGTGTGCTGGATGGGGGTGAAGAGATGGGTGGTAAATCCTTGGATCACTGGAGAGTCTGTAGTGGAGGGGAATACACACAAAAGCCACGCAATTGATGTGAGGGAAGAGAAGGGTCTGGTCGAGAAACATTTTGGAGCAAGGAGAGTCTGACATACAGAACGTAATGATTGATGTGCAAAGGGAACTGCATGGAGGCATTGCAGATTTTCTGCAGGCAAAGGCTGAAACACAGTAACCACCTACCCTTTGCATATAAGCAGAAGAAAGTCATGTACCTCATACGTATAGTTGGGACAGGACACCAGCAAGAAGAGCCACGTGAAGGGGTTGTAGGTTGGACTTGGAAAACAGGCTTTACTTCCTTTATGAAAGGGGAAAAAAAAGAGAAGAAGAAAAAAAAAAAGGCCAAAGAAAAAGAAAGAAAGAAAAAAAAACAAATGGACAAAACCAGTTTCAGTACAGGGAGGGGAACAGAGCCTTATCATAATTTGCCTATGTAACAGCCATACCCTTGGCCAATGCTCCCAGAGTACAACTTGTTAAAAAAGTTTCAGTAAAATCTTTTGAGACAGCAAAAGCTGTATTTATTCTAGTGAGAACGCTGCTTAGTGAGCCATGTATCACTTTTTACAGGAAAGGTCTGCCATGTCCAAAGGATGCAACCTTTGTTCAGAGGAAGAGAGAGACAGGTAGTTTAATGTGGACTAGCTGGCAGGCGAGGGCTAAGGGCACTCTTGTGGCATATAAAGGATGCAGCTGTATCTTATTCAGCCTGACCCAGGAATGCGAACCTGTCCCCTCTCGCATCCTCATCCTGCATTCCAGGGTAGAACAGGAAAACAACTCCAGAGCTAACAGCATGACTCTCTAAGCCACTGATAATGCTCACGCAAAATGCCACCTATGCAACGCTTCGTTTTTAAGTTCTGGCAGCAATGCTATCTTTAATACTTGTGGGCATTGAGAACACATTATTTGGCTCTTGCTGCTTTTAAACTGATTTAGGCGCCTTGCAACAAACAATATAAGCACCTGCCTAACCACAGCACATCAAAACCTTTCCTGAATGGAAACTGACTTCAGTGTGTGTAGTTGATCATATTGTGGTGAAGTATTTTCCTGAATAGGGTGTTATAATGCAAAATTATACTATTATTATCTGAAAAAATATTTTACTTTCTACTATATCTATAGTATAACTTTTATTCTCATGGTACAAAAGACCCTGAAAACCCATGCTTGGAGCATCCTTTTAAGAGCATACATATACTTTGATGCCTGTGTAGGTATTCATGAGTCTGTGTGTTTGTATATGTGTGTGTGTCTTTGCATGAGATGAATGTATCTAAAAACTCTGCAATCTAGTCAAAAAGTTTTTGAAACTTATTTAAAATGGAATCCTCTGTTGTCCGCCAACAGGATGCTTTAGAGAACTTCCATTCTTAAATCCATATTTAAATTGCAGTTGTGTATAATTAAGATAAATTTACTATAAACTTTGGAACAACAACAGTCATGCTAATATTTCCTTGTCGCCACATTTATTTTGAAGATGTTGTGCAAATGGCGTGGTACCTTCATCTTTCTTTATTCTATGGCTGTAGATACATAAATTACTGTATATCAACAGAAGATGGATAGGTTAAGCACACTTCACTCTTAAATAGATAAATAGGAAACAAAGACAGACCTGAATGATTTTGGTGAGCTAAAGTTACGTTGATAAAGTGATTTCCAGCTTCACACATCTGCAAGACATTAAAAACATATTTTCAGTTGTATGCCTAAAATGCTGCAGTAACTGTTGCAGTGCATAACCAGAATTCCCCCATTACAGCTTAGTCTCGGTATCCAAAACAATATGTACTCCGAAATGACAGTCCCATGGGAAATACGTTCTGTGAGCGTTGCCAAACGCACAAGTGTCTAGTGAGCACCGTGGGTGCAGCCTGGGGTGAAAGCCAATGTTTCAGCTCCGTAGAGCTCAGTGCAAGCAAGCCTTCGGTGTGGTTCCATGCCCAGCATCTGCAACATGCTTTGGTCTGGGGAGATCAGAGAGGCTCCCTGGGGTCTAAGGAATTTAGCAAGATACTCCTCTAAACTGAACATTGTTGTCAGGATGAATTTAATCCAGCCTGCAAAGAAGCAGGTGAAAAGTCGACCACTGGTTTTGTAAAGATGTCACGAGTCAATGTCCTTACCCTCTTCCTACGCACACTTTCAAAGGTGTTCAGCCTAACGCCCTTGTTGCACTGGTTACAGAGCACCGTAACCAGGTCTCTAGGTAAGTCATAGAGGAAGGAAAAATAGGGTGAATAAAAAGGCAGTGGTTCTCTGAGGGGCAGACTGGTTGAATGGATAGTAGTCCGGAACTGATAAATGAAGGGAGCCAGCATTATTCCTGGTTCTGCTACCCTGGTTACGCCATTTCCAGCCCTAACCAACCTCTTGAACTTGGTCTTTAATCTTTAGACAGTTTAAATGTTTGGAAGAGGTACCATGTCTGTGAATGTCTGTGAAGAGGTACCATGTCTCCTCACTTGGTTATACAGAATGTAGTGCAAGGTGATTTCAGATTTGCTTGTGATTTTGAGCACTTCATCAATTACAACTACTGTAAAATCAAAAACAATTACTACCCATATTTGCAGTGGGAACTGGTATGAAAACCAGTATCAATTCCTGAAAAAGAAAACCTATGAGTACAACAATCTAATTTTATGGTTTTCATTTTTCCCCTGCTTTATGAAGAAAACTAAAATGCTGTATACATTTCAATCTTGGACTGAATTGAACTTTTTTATTCATTTCTGGGTTTGAAGACTGATCTCTTCTCTCAAATTGAAAAAATGCAGTGTTAAAAAGCTGTGTTTTCTTATATCATCTGTCATTCTAAATTTTGCAAGGCTGGAAAAAATTAAGAAATTAAGATAAAAGGAAAAGTGCTAAAACCTAGTGGTATTAAAAGTGTAAAGTCACAAAATTAATACAGAAAAAAAAATACAACTGTAATTTTTTTAAGCCAATTCTGAAAGTCATCTATAACAAACTTCAATTAAAACTAACTGAAAGGAATATGTAAGTTCATTTTATATTGAAATGTGCCATTATCTGAAATAACATTGTAGACAGCATTGCTGAAAAATTTTCCCCTTTTTTGCAGAGAGATTTCTGTGAGTTTTGTTAGGAAAGTTTAAATCAGTTCTATTAGCAAAGCTATTATTCTGAATGGATATGTAGTCATGGGTCAAATCCTGCAGTCTTTTTATGTTTTTTAATTACAACTAACTGGCTGTCATCTATCATAAACACCAGATGTAAAACATTAAATAGCCAGAAAAGGAAATTCTATTATAAAACACCACATCAGAAGCTATAATTTTAGCCATAGCAATAGAAGTAATTTTAATTTATGTACTTCCAATTATGAGCTAGGAACATGATTTTTTCTGATTACTATTATTTTAAAGAAAAAAATTTCAAAGTTAGAAGTGTTTTTGTGAAACACTATACATACTGAAATGTGCAATGCCCCTACTATTGTGGAGCAAGAGAGATTCACACACTATGGTTAATACCTACTAATTTTCTAATCAATTATAAGTAAAACAAGCAAAGGGCATTTCTGCAGGGATTTTTATTGGCTTACCTTTGACTCTGCAGCTGCATTCTGCTGTAATTAGCTCTTATGTCCCTCTTTAGAAATGTGGCTGCTAATGCTCTGTATCAAGAAGTACTGCTAAATGTAAGCTAGTCCTTAGTCAGTGCCTCAGATATAAAATACGGGGCAGTGGGGAATAGCAGAAAAAAGGCTTACTGTATTTATGATGACAAAATACTGAAGTCTACATACTGTTCCCCCTCTTTACATTCTATGTGTACCCTACGAGAAAAACGTCCCTGCAAAGATTAGAGTAATTTCTCTGTGAAGAATCTATGAGAATCTCTCATAGAATCTATGAGAATCTATGAGAATTCTCTATGAGAATCTCTCAGAAGGGCCTGCTGACAGTCTTCAAATTACTCAGTACTGTTGTTTACAGCAGCTGCAGATGTATATGCTTAAATCAGGATATGTAATAAAGACAAGCCTTAAGGGGGGGGGGGAGAAATCTTCCAAATATTTTATTCATATGTTTTAGAAACCTGTGAAAACAGCTTCAATTTATTTTATTTTGTATGTTGTTGTTTAAAATTCATTTTCTGTGAACCTGCCAGAACAAGGTCTGAAAGGGAAACATTTTGAGCTTCCATGGGTAGGAAGTTCTCAAAAGGGTTGAAGAATTCAGACCACATACCAGGTGCTGATGCAGATCCGAAGGGGACGGCCATATTATATAGCAAATACCCCCAACGGGACTCATCTCTTTGCTTGGTGGCAACATTTTCCATAAAAGCTATAGCAGCGCATGTTACATTGAGGAGAGGAAGGATGTTTCATTAGAAAAGGAGACTTTTTCTATGCAGAGATTTTGACAAGGACTACTTTTACTGGTAGCACTGAATATTCAGACAAGTGGTTTGCTTGGTTTCAAGTAACCCCAGGGCTTGGGAAGGGCGCAGACAGTAATGTCTGGGCACACCACTGCCTACTGCTGCCACAACCTCCTGTCTCCGTAGCACAGGATTATTGCTTTCAGCTATACAGACTCATTGAGTGCATGAACTTCTTGTGAGCATTTTCTTGGTCCCTTATTGGGGCAGGAAAAGCTGAGAACTGCATGGCCGAGCCCCAGAGACAAACACTGCTAAAACTGTGATCTTTAAGGGTCCCAATTTACAAAAGCATTTAAATATTGCTAAGGACTTCTTTAAATGCTTTTCTGAACAGTGTTTGCCTGAAGGAGCCTAAACACGTTAATGTCCCATCTTCTTGTTATATTTCTGGAGACTGATCTGTATCTGCTTTTCAAAGAGGCTGACTGTTTTGGCTACTGACCCATGCTTACTTGGGTAAGTCAACACTCAGCATTTCCAAATGCAATGCCCATTGAGAGAATATACATTTCCATGTGAGAATTTCTTACTGAGCCTCTGTATCACTATATGGTTATGTTCATTCAAACATCAGGTTCAGTAGTCTCAGCCATCCTTCATCACCTGTGCTTTCCCTTGGCTTAACCCACTTTGGGAGGGATTGTTTTTATTAATAGTTGTTGAGGTTAAGTTACTCAGGGTACACAGTACAATTGCAAAGTCTACAAGGGTGTAATGCTTCAGTGGTTTAAAAATGGCAAGTTCCAATCTGTCTAAATATTTGTGGGTTTACACAATTATCAGTAGTAATAATGCTGATGATGTTCTCATTGCTCTCAAATACAGTACTTCACATTAAGCTCTGTATAGGTAAATAGTACTAGGAGACTTCCTGGCCTAGAAACCTTAATAGATTATCACTAAATCCAGTCAAAGGACACAGGGCTGTGGGCGTGGATGTATATATATACACAAATGCATGGTAGCATTACTGCATTTTGCTAAAACGTGAGTTACTCCTATTCCGCAATCATTAATCAAACATTTTTGTACGTACCAGAAAAGCAAGGGCAGCAAATGAAACTTGTCTGTGGCCAAATGCTAGAAAACAGAATGAAATTATAAATTGCATTTTATGGTATGCACATGGTTTGCTATGGGTGAAATTAATATAGTGCTGAGGAGCAGAAATACTTCTTTCCTGAGAGGCTCTACTGAAAGAACGGGTACTATCGCACACAGTATGAAGACAATGCAAATAGTAGCAGCACTCTAGAAACGCCAGTCTCCTCATCACTGATCTCAAGGCAGTTTTCACCTAACTTTTTCTAGTATTTGTCAGCTTCATATATCCAAGTGCTGTGTCAAAGCAGCTGGTGGTGTTAAATTCCTTGGAAGGGCAAGAGGAGGAATCAAGTGAAAGTCAGTGGCAGAACCAAGCTGGGAATCACAGCCTTATCCATACACCCTTCTGTCTCCATGAGCAGAGAGCCCAAGGCATAACCTATCTATTACTTTTTTTTTTAAAGTAGTGAGGCTTTACTATATAGCCCCTATCTGCTTCACAGTTTCACCATGCAAGAAATATACTTAGCCTTTGCAATTTTTACCTGCACTTTTCCTGCCCTCTCTTTTTTGCCGTTGTCCCCAAACCACTGTAGTGCTGTGTCACGTTCACCTCCAAAGGTTTACAGTTCTCAAGTAAACCTTGGTCCTCGCTGAGGGACACAAACCACGTGTATGTACCTCACTTCCCTGACCAAGCCTCATTGACCTTTTACTTTTGAGAACTCTTTTTCTCTGGCTGGCAAACGACTCCTCTGTGTTGCCAAGGGCATGCACTAAAACTCCTCAGAACAGCCAGCACATGTCAACGTGTGAGTATGTAGCTGCTAAGCAGATGTTTTTCATGGGCCCTCTGTCAGCCTGGTTTAATTCACCACTCCTGCATAGCATTCTGCAACCACCTGCTTGCCATTCCTTACCTGTCCCCAGACCAGCCATCTCTGGATATGGCTGTGGAGGTCACCTGCTCCTGCGTCCAAAATAAACCATCGATGTTTTCATGATTCAGCTAACTATGCCAGAGGGCTGGTGGTCTCCAGCATTAGGTCCATGCACCTATAATTGTCATTTTAAGGCAGTAGCAAGCAATTAGAAGTACTTCTTCTGAATGCTTTCTCTGTAGGAAAGCTATGTCTTGAATAAATGGTTTCCTCTATAAAGAAGCCGCACCTACTGATCCGATGGCCCAAATGGCTAAAAACCGTGTCTAGGGAGGTTTCATCATTGTTTGCAGCATTACTACTAAAGACACACCAAATTCAACTGTATTTCAATGAATCACATCATTTTGAAACAGAACTTTTGTGTTATTTTGAAACAGAATTAAGTGCCGTGTAGGAGAAATTTTTGCCTGAAAAACATTAGTAATTTAACTGAGTGTAAATAAAAGTGGCAAAGCAAACCCTTTGTTCCTAAAGCTCATAGATAAGTATTAGATGAAGAGGAAAAGAAAGACTAAGGTGTAGCAAGGAAAGTAAAGTAGCAAGAAACAAAACGTATGACAATTATGCTCAAAAGAGCAAAAGTTCAAAGAGTAAACAAAGAAAAAATCATGAAGAAACAGCAGTGCAACAATAAAACAAAATGAGTGGGAACAAAATGATAAATGAAATCTGGAAGCAAAAAACAGGATTTTTTTTTCATTATTATCAGCAGTATCCGATTGACTTTTACTGGTTTCTCGCAAAAAAAAATAAATCTTAATTTTCATGAAAAGGATGTACCTTTAGCAAATAAATATCTCCTCCAAGAAAATGCAGCCAGATCCAGTTCTCTCTTGCATTCTTAATACAAATATTGTGAAGATGAGCAAAATATATCGATCTTTGTGTTTTCTCCACTTGGCCAATATTTCCAGTTCTTAAAACTGGACGGTGACTGACCATCACCGAACAGGAACATGCATTCAGTGGCACAGCAGCAGTGCCTTCTGCACAACAATCTTGCTTCTGACTGGGAGTAAAGGCTAATATCTGGCTAGAATAGTCATATGATCTCATGTATTGATTTTGGAGGACTTAAGGTTGCATACCAAAAACCTTTTAAAATCAAAGTCAGTTTTATGTTCTACTTATACATACATGGTGGCGTATATCGCGGATGGTTGATGTAGTATGCAATCCAGGAAGTGAATCCCCAGTAAAAGGCACAGCCCTGGAATGGACAAAAGATACTTTTTTTTGTTAGAAAGAGCAATAAGCAAGTACAAACTTTATAAATATAAATTCTGGTAAGTGCAAAACCCAGATGACCATTGAAAGACTTTGCAGTGCCTTCTGGTGTCACAGAATATAGATCTTTTTAAGATGCTATGAAGCCACTAAAAAAGAATAAAAGTTTGTACAGTGTAGATTTTTTTGGATTGTGTTCAAAGTGTTTTATGCCTGTTGTAGGAATTGACATTTGTTTTCTCCTTCTTTGATTCTACTGCTGAAGGGCACATTTCTCTGAGTTGTACTATTAAAAGTCTAGGGCTGGTTAGAACAGCTGACCTGTTACTATACCTTAAACTCAGCATTTCCAAGCAAGATAGATCTACTCAAACAGAACACTACACCAGCTGAGACAATAAAGAGTAAAACTGAATAGGCCTGGTTTAACCCTTGCAAAAAAAAAAAAAGGTACACAGTTCCTATAAAGACATTTGGGCCTACACACTGCATCTACACCTGTGGAGATTCAGCCCCACTTCATCCTCTTGTTAAAAAGCAGCACCCCAGCTGCCTTTGCTTGGTGACTGAAGCCGTGGGCTTGGGAAAGACCGAGCAGGGATAATGTGATCATGTTCTTGCCTGTGTAGGGGTCACTGCTCCCATCCTTTGAACAAGAAAAAACAAAAATCACCAGCCAAACTACCACAACCACCCTGGAGACTGGACAAAGCCTTTCTACGTGTCTAAGTTAAGGGTGCCATGCTCAGTACCTCCTCAGGAAGAGCCGTGTGCTGGGACTGGCTATAGCTCCATCCCATAAGTAGGGCTGCAAGTTAAGCTTTCTCTTTTAATCTTTTTATGCAATGCCACTGTACTACACATGCCACAGACACAAGGGGCAACAGTAACTGTTGAATGCACGAATCACTTTGGAAATGGCCCTCTGGTTCCAAAGCCATTTAGCTTATATTCCAACTTTTTTTTTTTTTTAAACACTGTGTGTTGTAAAACAACATCTCATTACCTCCTTTCTGACTGGAACCAAGTCAAGCCCTCTATCATGGCCATACGTTTATCTCCACTAAAATCTTAAATATATTGCAAAACTTTTAAAGAGACGGTCTTTACATCACACTGAATGGGATGGGGAGTGGGGTTATACAAAATGACTGAGACTGAGTATGTGAAATAAAAGAAAGGAAAGCTTATTAGTAATGATACACAGTTGAAATTGGGGAGGCTTTGGGAGACAGAAGACTTTAGGCCAGCTCAGTATCTTCCTTCCCAAGGCCTCCACCTATAGAAGGAGAATATACTTTTTTCTACTTGTAATTTGATTTTTGGCATCCTAATGCAAGGCCTGTCTCTTGCTCTATATTTATATTGCACCGAGGAAGTGGAGTGTGATTTTTGTCAGCAGTATATCTCATAATAAAATAGCATTTGCTCTGAAAAATATCCTGGACATGACAATCATCCCCTTGGGTGGATGAGTCAAAGTGGACATTGACATGCAGGAGCTAAAATGGACATTGATTTCATAGAATCATAGACATGGCCCTGAAATTCTTCCTATGTTTGTATTTTGACTAATCATAATTTCTGAAGCTAGAAAATAAATTGTTTTTTATTTTCCTGTCTTCTTCCAAGGACTGCTTTGATATGAGGATATTCTTTCTTACACAAAATTATAAACATAATGTCACCTTTATCATATTTTTCAGAGGAGTGTGCCCTCCCGAAAACTTGTGAACAAATAACGTCTCCAGAAGATGTCTGATGTAGTGTAAACAATGACAGAAGCAGGCCAAGCTGGAAGAAGAAGAAAAAAAAAAAAAGAAATTAAGGTAAGTGAAAGATTGCTTTTTATTACTTCACAGTTTAATGTCACAAAAGGAATAAGGACTAATATTCCAAAACTGCAGAGTCACACTGAAATCGTGGGATTTAAGATGTTGTCTTAATTGAAGCATCTGGATCCAAAGATTAATTGAATCATTTTCAGTGTTATACAAAGTTGCTTTCATTTTGCAGGGAAGCATCTTATTTTTACTAGCCTTGAATTAAAAAGAGCTCCTCAAGCTCTGAATGTGATACATAGCCCTGACAAGACATTAAAACAGGACAGCTGTGTATACAAGCAGGCGTCTGCTGTGTTTTTCCAAAAGACATCTCCCACGTTTTAAGGCCACCTTAATACTCCTGTAGCACGTGTCTGACATTTAAAAACATTCTGAATATCTTCTGAATTGTTTCCTTGTCCTTTGCCAACTCAAGTAGCTGCATGGAGGTAGTTTGTATTTCATTTCCTTGTGGACACAAAATGAGATTTTGTTGCAAAGTTAATCCATTCTGATGGCTTTTTTGTTGCCCGTTACAAAGAAATAAGGTAATTGTTGTAGAAATTATTATAGTGGTTCTCTTTTGAGGAAGATTATGAAACAATAACAGGCATTTTTTTCCAAGAATGAGTTGCAGCTCATAGAGATTGAGTTCCAGAAACAAATGTCAAGAGTGATTCCTGGTGGCATTTTATCTTGGTTACATTTACCGTACTACCAGAGCCCGTCTCACTGCAAACCAATTATAAGACATAAATGAAAAGTGGTTTTCAGCATGTGAAATCTCAAATACTTTTATTATGCATCTTGTATGGTAGCCAGAGTCAAAGATTAAACAATTTCAAAGTAATTAAACCAGAGAGAGTTGAGCTAAGAAATTTTCAAACAATTAATGAGTTATCCAAAGTCTGGAGCAAACTTCCAGCTTTGCTGGCAATTTTTAAATTAATTTGGTTTAGGAGGGGGACCTCAGATGAACCCATTAAGGAGTGGTCACTGGAAAGATTCTGCACACCCCTTGCCCACTTAAAAGAAGGTAAAGGTATTACTGGCACTTCTGTGCTACCAGAAACTCTCCTTCTAAGTGTATGAGCAAGAGAAGGAAGGCAAGCATCTCGCAGGTCTGGATTTGAATTCAACTATTCTGTGTTCTCATTCCCAGCTCCACTAACTCCCCTAATGTGTCTCCAAGTCTCTGTTCCTCTGTCTGTAAACGGTATTATTACTCACTCTGTTTCTCTGCTGTATACCAGCTCCCTTGATTCTGCAGTCATAGTGTGGAAAAAGTGTTGTGGGAAAGCTGTACAGTTCCTTGAGGCTCCTAGTTCCCTGTGTGCCCTCCCACATCCAGTCCTCCAACTTACGCAGCCAACAAGCTTTCCTTGATCATGTTCAACCCCTCTGCCAGGCACTAATCCCCCAGAATGGGGACAATCACACTGAAGAAAAATAAGTTCCTTAAGTGTGAAAGTTCCCAGCCTGCCTGGTGCATTAACCACCATCCTGTGGAGGGGTACAGTTGGTGGCGGCAGCGTCTTGAACCTCCCTGGCAGTTACTGTGTATAGCTGCTTGCCACTTTCTTGTCTGTAACAGTTCTTAATCCCTCCCATCGATCAGGTCTGCTTTGTTTCTTCCAGAGTCTTTCAAAAGGCTTGGGAATGGCAGGGGCTGTCGAAGGTCATAATCTTGGTTGGCTGTCCTCTCTTCATTGCTTGTTGGCATGCTCTTGAGTTCTAGCAGCCTAAGCAGGTTGCCTTTCCTTGTGGTCAGCTCCTACTGTGTTATATTGGAGCACTTTAATTTTCCTTCTTAGCATTACTGTTCCAGTGATGGAGAGAAGCAAAGCTATCTGGTTTACACTTATATATGAGCTCCTCTGATTTGTTTCTGCGCAGCTAGATACAACCTGTGCTCTTCACTGTTCTATAACAGTGGCTGAGCTCTTATTTTTGTTTTGCCACTTCAGTCTTTGATTTTTTATAAGTCTTTCAGAACTCAAATATGTTGCGTATTGCCCTGGGGAACAATCACAGTTTGAAGAGGTTAGTTTCAAAAATCAGATTACCAGTTCTGAATTCCTGCAGTGCTTCTTTTGAGTTTCTCAGTTGTTCTTGACCTGACTCATGAGATGCAGACCTCTCGAAATTCCTCCTTGTTGTGCCTAGGTGCGAGCTGGCATGGGGGTAGTTATCTTCAGTGCTGGATGCTGATGTAACTCACTTTATGAGTGGGAATGCGCTGTAAAGAGACTGGGAGTGGGACACCTGAAGTCTTGTTCCCCTCTTGTTTCACCTTCTGTTCAGGCTGTGTGTCTAGAGCGCACACTATTTGGGGAAAATACTACATCTCCCATTGTGACCAGGTGCCGTGACCGTTGTAGCTGGGATCCCATTTTTGGTCAGGCTTACGAGCACTGCTAAAATGCTGAACCACTGTAGATGAGAACAATCTGAAACTCCCACTGACTCTGAGACCTTGCACGCAGCCTCACACCCCCTGCAACCTCCTCAGCCCTGGAAATGCAGTCTGCATCCCTCTGGCTCCCTGTCCTCCAGGAAAACAGCTCCCACAGGTGTCACTTACTGAACCACTGGGTGGCGGAAGTTCTTCGTACTCTCCACTTGATCATAAATAGTTGAGAGACGAATGTAAAAGAGCAGATATATTAGAAGAGGCCCGGTGTATTCTGTTAGAAAAAACTAGAAATTAAAAAGAAAATAGCTGTATCAGAGTAGGAAATTGTACCAATAAAGGCATGACAAAAAGAATACACCTATCCACGACACCTATTCATCCTTCAAATGTCATTTTGGTTTCATTTTGAGGACTTAAATGACATGTAATTTTTTCTGCTGTGTCTTTAGCAAAGAAGTAAAATCCATCTAGGAAATGAGAGAGAGGTTTCTGTGCAGAACATTAACCCAGTCAGGAAGGCCTCATGGAAAGTGGTCAAAATCACAGTTATCTCCTCTTTATACTCTTGGCTGTGCCATCAGATGCCTATTTGGAATCTAAATAACACAGAAAATCAAGGCCCAAAAGCTGAAGGCAGCTTGCTTTCTGCCAGTGTTTTTTGCAGTTAAGTGATACATCAGTTAAAAGCCAACCAAGCATGACAGAAGCGAACACAGCTTTGAATCCTGGTTGCTAGCAGAGACGTTTGGAAGGGAGGGATCATTCCTTGAAATTTGGTGGTGGGTGGAAGAGCAGGACCTGCCTGCCCAATGTATGGTGCTTTGAGCCTTTGTTCAGTGAACGAGTGGGATTCCTCCCTGCGCAGGCATCAGCAGGAGTAGTCTGCCGTGGGCAGACTGGACAAGTTAGTTACCCTGTAAAACAGAAAGTAGTAATTTAATCTCCCTACTGGCACCCCTGCTAGCCACAGAGAGCCTAGAGGAGATATGGGGGCAGGGAGAGAAGGTGGAGTTACAGTGCTGAGCCGCCCTCGGTTTTACCTTCTGGCTTTGGTTTAGTACAGCTGTATCTTTTTGTCAGGGCACACTCTTAAGCTACAAACAGCTGGAGGAAGTAAAATGTGGTTAGAGTGATGTGAGGTGCGGGTTTGATCATCTGTCCCCACTGGAATGAATCTCAGAATAAAATGGAAATGGTGTAGCCCTACATGTTTACAAGAACCAGCAACTGGCAAATCATAACTCAAGTTGCTTAAGGGATAAAGATTCATAACTAATAGGACATTTGGCCTTAAGGTGTCTATTTGCACTGCTATAGAATCGTAATGGATAAATACCTGTGCCTTAAGGAAGCAACACTGAATTTAGACTACTGTTCTCAAAAATAGCATTTGGCAGGTGGTCTGACCCCCAGTGTGCTGTTCCTCTAATCGCTTTTCAGAAGAGCTTTGAAACAGAAAGGTTATCCTGCAGAAATATTCTGCAGTCGGGTTTCCTTCATTTGGGACCTCCAGTACCATTTCTTTTCCTCTATTACAGGGAGAAACTTTTTGAAATTTCAGCTTTTCATAGCAAGACTGTCTCCAAAAGTAACAGACTGAAGTGTTCTCTACCAGGAAAATGTCAAATTCTCTTTTGTTCCATGTGACACCATGATTTCTCTGCTATATTAACTCTGTGTGATCCCAAGAGCAGTTGTGTGTGTGCGTACATATGAAAACATTTAATCAACGAGTGTCTAAAAGCCCACGTTGTTGTGAAACACACCACAGTCAAGGGCTTATTAGAGATTTGTCCTAATAGCAGTTGTATGGGTCTATTCCTAACTGTGAGCCCACTGTGTTAGGCACTCTGTGAACACTGTAAGAGACAGCCTCCACTATTAAAAACTAATACACTAAACGTAGACAAAGGTGGTATAGGAGGTGCAGATAACATGGTCTGGGCAGGCCAGTGTAAGCGTATGGAATGAGCTGCTTGCTTCATTGTAGTTTTTCCTCTCAGATATGAGTTGCACCACAAAATACACCCATAACTGCCAGCTTTTATCATCTGTTTGACAGATTACAATTGGCTTTAACCATGGGTAATCAAAGGCAAGCACAATTATTTTACTATTGATTATCAATGAATATATGCAATTAAGCCTACCTAGTATCTTCATACTCATCCTATAGCTGACTAATTGCTGGGCTTGGGGAGTAAGTTAAGGATAAGTTCAACCTATCATTTTTACAGATGCTCAAAAAACCTACAAAATTACTAAGATAATATTTCCTGCCAGAATATCCTGTAAAAATAATAATAAAATTTTAATCAAAATCCTAAAATAGTAACTTCATAGCTTTTATTTTAGGGACAAAAGAAATATCATTTTGTAAAAACAAAAAAAAATGACCATTTAACCCACAGAGAATTTTCCTTCTGAAGAAATGTTAAAACCATCCAATATTTAGAAGAAAATTACTTTGTCTTTACCATCTGGTGGGCCTGCCTAAATTTTTTTTTGGTGTATTTGGTGCAGCCAAATATGGTGGTTGATGGTAAACACAAATATCTTTTCCTGGAGGAAAAGAGGCATTACATCTCTATTACAATGTACAAAGCTCAACAGAATTTGACTTTTGAGCTCATCATTAACTCCATGAAGAAAGAAAACAGAAGATTGCCCCTTTTTTCCCATATCTGTATGCTCTATTTCATATCTTGCAGAATGCCCAGTTCTCTTAACTTCCTTCTCTCCAGTGTCTGGTATTATATACTCTATATACCTCATATTCTCTGTAGCACAGAGAAAGTGCTGTTCTTGAATCCAACCTCTCCCAAGCATGGTCTCCATACAGGGTGCTGAACTCAAGCTTCTTTAACTGTCTCAATTATCAGGTCCTTGGAGACCTGATTCAGTAATACTTAAACTGGAAACGTCTACTACATAAGCAACAAAATGGAAATCTGAAATATGTCAAAAGAAAACTAATGTAGGCATCTCCATCATTCAAGAGATGATGAGACAAATGGGAAAACAATACAGGATAGCTAATACGCAAACCAGCAAGGCATCTCATCTTACATGAGCCAGATTGTGTTTACTTCTTTTATCTCTGTTCAGATGATCACGCCAGTAACACCTTGCTGAACTAAGTAATGACCAGGCCAGCAATTATAATCCCAGACCTTATGAGGCAGAGGGTATATTTAGGGAGATATGAATGCAGTAGAGGTGAAAGGAGCTCTTTAAAGTTATTTCAGGGAATGTGAGGTGAATTTTCTGGCTGGTAGGGGCAGCTGGCATAGTGCCTGAAACCGTCCCAACAGGACTGCTGCAGGGAATGGAAAGATTGTTTTATGTGAGTTAATAGTACATTGTGTACTGGTTGGGAAAAGGAATAAAAGGACAAAAGGAAGCTATAAAGAGATGGGGTGGGGTGGGGAGAGTCTGAAAAAAAGCCCAACAGAACTTTTATAAATGAACAGCCCACAGATTAGCAATCTTCACATGAGGGCATCAGCTAATTCCTCTCTGTAATGTTTATGACATGCCCTTTCTGTAATACCACACAACACACGCTATCTTGTATCATGTTGCCTTCTGGCATAGTCTCACATTATCTCATTTATGACAAGCTGCAGAGCAGAGCTGAGGAAAGGCCATACAGCCTTTTCCATACTGATCCCTTCCCGCAGCTCTTTCCATGCCATGTAGGGGCAGTTTACCGGTTCATCGGTGCTGGTCATGATGTTTTGCCTTCCACTGCCAACGGGATGCCTAGGTTCAAGCAGGGGAAGCAGCAGGCGTAGCATGAGGATAATACCTGCAGCCAGGACAATGACTTTGGGTCGTTGCCCGAAGCTCTCGGCACAGCAAGCGACACAAAATAGCTCAAGCGTGTCCTGAGTAACTTTGGAAAAGCAGCTGCAGTATATAAATTACCTAATGGGCAGAGGTTAGTTTCTCTGATAAATGTGAGACAAAGGCACTAGCTGCAGGTCTGAGCCAGGGTCAGACTGAGACAGTATGTACCACACAAACAGGAGGATCTACTGATATCAGACAGACAGACCATTACTATGTGTGAGTGTACAGAGAGCAGCCAGGATTTCTGAGAAACCCAAGAGAAACAGGCAGTTTAACCCTCCCAAGTCCCCAAATCACATTAAACTTAGCATCTAACTACCTTAGACTCCTTTTGCAATCCCAACCCTAAATACTCTTGAGCTAATGATTATTAAGAAACATTATTAATTTGTGGACTAATTTCTATTTCATATGCTTTGCTACCTCATTTAAGTCTATATAGTAGCCTGGGGATGATAATGACATAATTTTAGCAGTATCTCTAAATCTTCACCTTTTTAAAATTTTGTATTTTCATGTTTGCAAAAATCCTCAGCAACAGCAGTTTTGCATCAAGTAGTAGAATTCTTAAGAGCTGATTGAATATTCAATGATTTTTGTTCCAGTTCTTATGAAACTGGCTGATCCATTCTACAAAACTTAAATAGTGCATGCAGGGCACCTGAAATTTCCCTTGTCTGGGCAGATTTTGCAATGACTTGGTGTCTGGGAGTATTTCAGGCTGCAGCTCAATATTTCCTGCAAATACCAGAGATAGGGATGGATTTTCTGTAGGATTTTATAGGCAAATTGCAGCTGACTCAGGACAGCTTCAGGAGCTGGGGAAAGAACAGTGGCGGATGCTGTTTCTCCCTGAGCCAGGCCTGTGCTCCCTCTGTGGGGAAAGGGAGGTGAAATCACAGCTTCCTCCTGTCCCTTTTAAGACCGAGCTGTCTGAAATCACTGGTGTGGCATCAGACCACTTCATACTCCCCTGAGAGCACAAGCCTTTGCATGTTTCTTACTCAAAATGGAAAATTACTGCAAATTACCAAATGCTCTTCTTATGCACACGTGTGTTTGCATGTTACATATGTTTGTACCTATACATATTCAGCAAATCACTCGAGTTCTGTTTGTAATCAAATACCAATGTGAGTTCAGATTTGCTGCCAAATCTTTATGGGGCTTTGACAGCATTTTGACATCTGCCCTATAATGTGTATCATTTTAAAATGTATATCCATCATCTGCTATGTAGGTAGCTAAATGAAATAGTGCTTTTAAACACTTGGCTATTACTAATAACCTCAACTACCTCTTCCACAGTGCTTTTCATCTAGAAACCTCAAAGGACTTTGCAAAGAGGAAAACACTGTTATTTTCTTGCCACAGATCTGGAAACTGAGAAATTCAGTGACTTGTCAAGGTCACCAGACAAGGTGGGCAA